CCTCCTCTGTTCATGTCCAGTTGCACTCGCAGTTACCAACTCATAGCGACCCTACTGGACAGGATAGAACTAGCCCTTGTGGGTTTCCAAGACTGCAACTCTTTACAAGAGCAGAAAGCTTCATCTTTCTCCCCAAGGAATAGAGGGTGGTTTTGAACCGCTGACCTCATAGTTAGCAGCCCGAGGCATAACCACTGCACCTCCAGAACTCCTTCCAATCGCATTACCTTGTGAAGATGCTGAAGTACCTGAGGCGCCCAGTGTAGAGGTTAAGCCCAGTGCCCAGAACTTAGTAAGCATCCTGTGCTCACTCATATTAGCCCTTGGGTCAACATTTATTGAGAAAGAAATGCAGGAATCAAGTTCAGATGACTTCTTATATTATTGCATGAAACCATATTTTACAGGCCAAAAAATGAACAGATGTTGATGATGGCAGATGGTTGAGTCTTCAGATGTTCATTTGTCTTAGGATGTTTTTTTCCCTCCTCATTGATTCAAGTTAGCTTTATGGTTCGCATGGCTCTCTTGCCTAACGAAAGTCACTTAGCACATACCGGAAGGTGGGCGAATACAGATGTCCTTGGGCTAACACTTTATCCTTTGTTCCCCCTTTTGACCATCTTGAATTTGATCAAGATTTTTATTATTTTCTGCTTTCTTTTTTGACTGAGGTTTTTCCTCTGCTTCATTTTGTTATTGTTGCAGTTCTTGGTATGTTTTTCTGTAAATGCGATCCAGGCTACGTGATTCTATTAACAGTTCCTTAGGGTGATGGCAGAGGAGCTTGGGGGAGAGTGAGGAGCTGGTAACATTGAGAAAGAAGAAAATGCCCTAAAATTGATGGTGATGACGAATGTATGACACTGTATAATACGTTCAATCCACTGATGTTTACATATTCTTTCAGGCTAACAAACACTCCTTGACCTGAAAAGACAGCTTTGTTAACTGAAAAAAAGAATGAAAAAGTCCCAGGTATTCCGAATGAAACCTGGTTGCTTCCTTGAAGATCTCTAAATTGTGACAGGAAATTGTGAGGTGCTATCCGGGGCATCTGTCTTCAGGAGCTCTCTGGAAATGTAAGTTCACAGGGATACGACTGCTCTCACCAGCCAATCACGGGCCAGCTTCCTTCACTGCTGCCACATGGTCAGCCACACAGGAACAGCAGCAGTGCTTGCGACCAGGGGATTCAGACTCTGGGCGACCTCCTCGGGGTCACAGGAGAGCTGGGCCCCACTGGGCTTTCGAGTAGATCACCAGGCCTTTCTCCCAAGGTCCCTCTGAGTGAGTTCACTTCCAACCTCTCAGTCAGTACTCAAGTGCTTAACTGTCTGTACCACCCAACGACTCCAGACCCACCAACCTCACTAATTCACTGTCATCGGCCATTATTGACCCGATAGGACAGAGTAGAATGGCCTCTGTGGGTTTCCGAGACTGTAGCTCTTTATGGGAGCAGAGAGCTCCTTCTGTATCCCATGGAGCGGATGGGGGATTCAAACTGCTGATCTTGCCATTAGCAGCCCAATACATAACCTACCATACCAGGGCGCCTTGTAAGACAGAAGAGAATGCTGTATGTCCCAGTCTCGGCTGCTGTCAGCATGGCCACACACACACCTTTGCAAGCCCCTTCTAAACTACTGCTCTAGTAATCCAGGAGTCCCTGCGTGGAGCCAATGGTTGAGGTTCAACTAGTAGTGCAAAGGTTGATGGTCTGACCCCATCCAGGGATACTTCGGACGACATGCCGGGCGATCTGCTTCTGCCAAGTCACAGCCTTGGGAACTGTAGGGAGTAGCTGCACACAGGGTTGCCATGAGTCAGAACCAAGTCAAGGGCAACTGCCCACACCGTATTAACTCAGAGATAAATTTGGGCTGGAAAGAGTAACATTCATGAAAATATTTCCCTTAAAATGCCTTTGGAATGGCATTCTGTATTATAAAAGGGTAGCGTTTCCCCAAACTTTTGACTTTTTGAAGCAGATTCTTAGGCCTTTCCAAACTGTACATTCCCAGGCTCCACCCTCTCTGATCTCCTACACTAGAATCTTTGGGGTGAGGCTTGAGAATCTACTTTTTAATAAGCAGCTTCGCCCAATGAACCACAGCAGCAGGAACTGGTAATCCTGCTGGGTTTTCTTTTTCTATTTTTTCCAGTTTTACTGACATATAATTCCCACATCATACATTTCAGTGGTTTAAACATATGAAAAAGAGTTTTGTAATCATCATCACAGTCAATTTTAGAACCTCTTTTAAATTCACGTACTCAGTATTATTAGCTCCCTATCTCCCCTTAACCTCCCCTGCCACAACCCCAGGATACAATAAATCTGGTTATTGTCTCTATAGACTTGCCTTATCTTGGAGTTAATCTAAAACAACAACAAAAAAGTCACACAACCCCCCCCCCCCTTCTCAATAACAATGACAAAACAAAGCACAGAAAGGCAAATCCCAAAGAAAACAAAAAATAATAAAAACGAGAACAAAGTTATGACAGGTCAAAAGTAAGATGTTAAATTTTAACCTACATCAACCTCAATCCACTTTCCAATGCACTCTATTTGAAAGCAGGGTTATTCACGTCCCTAGTCAAGGGTCAGCGTGGGATTCTCTGGAGGTTTAATCCACATGGGGACCCTGCAAATGGATTGTGGGCTTTCATTGTCATCTATAGCTTTCTGCAAACCAGGTGCACAGAACTTAAGCTCCAATACAGTTCCCTTCTCTGATCTTGGATGCTATTATTTATAATCCTTTGATCACACTGGCTGGTGCGCTTTTTCCGTGTGACCTTAGTTGTCACCTCACTTAGATGGCTGCTTGTTTAAAACAAGCCTTTAAGACACCAGATGCTATTCTTTCTGACAGCTGGCCACCATCTGGTTTCTTCACCAGACTCTGCTGCATTACCCATATTGTCAGCGATCTCTTCCTGAGGGCACAGACAAGTGCTAGTTTATAAGAGCTAGTTGTTCTTAGATTAGGGTTTATGATTGTGAGCTCAAAATCCATTCATATACTTGTAGTTCTGCTGGGTTTTCTATAGAGTTCCTGGTGGTGCAGATGGTTAGCTCCCTTGGCAGCTAACCTAAAGACTGGAGGTTCAAGTCCACTCAGAGCCACCGCAGATAAAAATGCCTGGAGATTGACTTCCCCCCCCAAAAAAAATCAGCAATTGAAAACTTTATGGGAAACTCTGACACTCATGTGGTTGATATGAGACGGAATTAATTTGATAGCAACAAGTTTGGTTTTCCATTTTCTGTGTCTTCATAGGGGCGGGCATGCAGAGGAGTGATTTGCTTCTTTGTACGGCTCCTTCACAGCCATCTCATGAAACTTGGGCACGCTTTCACGAGTTGGATGAGACATACTCAGGTTTCGGTCACCTCTTGCTTTGCCAGATGTGGGAGCCCGATTGGGAAAGCTGACCTCCCACCACTTCCCACCCCAGTGGCATCTGGAGCCCTTGGGTGAAGTCCCACAGGGAGTAGGTGTCAGCCATGGAGCCTACCATCTGGGCCTCAGCCCTGAACACTGGACTTGAACATCACTCTGGTGGCATCACACTGGCTGTTTAGCATCTAGTCAGAGCCTTTGAATGCACAATAAAGCTGTATGCAAATGACAGACAGCAGGGAGTCATTTGAGGTTGAAGGAAAGATGTGTCAGCCTCAGAGCCCAGATTTGGGGCCCACCCTTGGCTGGATCTAGCGGAAACTCTGGGATTAATTTGACTGGGGTAGTGAGTCCAGAGGGAAACAACCGGCACAGAAGACACAGAATTGGGACCGCCACGGTCCCCCCCTCCCCCGTGCCTGTCTCCCGCCTTCCCACCTGATCATTTCCATGGCTCATCTTTCTCCTGGACAACGCTTTTTCCTCCTTCCTGCTCCTCCCCTTTCCACCAACCACTGTCACCACGATCCTCTGCCTTCTTCCCTCGTTGGTGTTGGAAGGCAGCTCGCTCTTTCCGCTAGGTGTTGAGAAGCGAAGCAAACAGGAACCAGGCCTTTCTGCTTTGGGTCACACAGTGGGGCTGTGTTCTGGGGCTTCGAATCCCTGGCCCAAGGGCCACATTCCCATTTCCCAGCCAAGCTCACTGCCATCGAGCTGAGTCTGACTCAGAGCTACGCTCTGGGACAGAGTAGAGCTGTCCCTGCGGGTTTCCGAGACGGTCACTCTTGACAGGAATAAAAAGCCACCTCTTCTACCCTCAGACTCGGCTGGTGAACTGGAGAGGCTGACCAGTGTGTCCACACACCGCCGTGGCTCCCGTTTCAGATGGGTCACACATGCAAAGAGGTCTTTCAGGCTAGTCTAGAGTTGCTGTCTCTGTGGCCAGACCTGGGGCAATTAAGAATTAGTTCTCTGGGGCAATTTCAAAACAGACGACGTCAAGGCCGGGACTCCCCTGCTGCATAGTAACTCATCCAGCGTCAGCTGCTGGCTAGTGGTGAAAAGGCTGCCGTGGTCAGACAGCTGTATTCCAGATTGGGGGCTCCGTGACAAAGGGGACTAACCACGCAGACGCCGAGGTTAGGGATCTTCCTGCCACAAGGAGGGCCAGGGAGGCTGAGCGTGTAGGCCGAGCCTGTTCTCTTTCAACTGTACCTTGTTTCTCACCCACGCGGGGTTCTTTCACCAGCTTGCAACTACACAGGACTAGACCAACCTGCACTTCAGAGGGCTGGGGGGG